TATCTTAGGGTGGATCTACTTTCTCAGATAGACCCCTTTATCATCAGATGGTTTATAACACATAGATAGTAGTGGTCAGAACTATCCGCTAAGGCTTTGCAGTGTGGCCATTTATCTTTTACATGCAATCTATGGGCAAAATCAGCTCAAACAATTGCACTGTGTCACTAATAAGTAAAATTCCAGTTTTTGCCAAATTAGCTCATGTTTGTTCTGGGCATTGAACTAAAGCATTTTGACAGTAAGCAATCTCTTATTCTGGAATGTGGATGAGTCAGAAAACGAGCAATGGTATTTTATCTCCAGCTAACTAAACTAGTATAAATATGAGAAATGGCTAGCACAAAGCTAACATTATCCTTATAGTTGCAAACTAGGTATAGAGTACTTAAATATCAACTTATATTTTAAAAGTTGATATTAAAAGTATTTTGTTCATCTTTGTGAATCTGACTCATTACCCCATCAGTGAGTAATTATTCTTTCCTCTATTTATTTATACTACACTACAGGTATAGTATAGGTTTGAATGGTACAATTTGATATCCCTGTGTTGGTGTTCCTATATCATCATAATAATGCTCGTCAGGGCCAACATCGCAACTGATCATGAGCATGTCTGAAAATTGAGTTCGCATTAGTCAAGAATCTGGCTAATGCTATTAAAAACCATCACTTGCAAATCAAAAAGTAACATAAATTTGGCCAACAGCAAGCTTAACCCTGACAATGTATTTATTAAAATGTTTTTTCCTTACATCACATACACATCCTTACATTTCCTTACAAAGACATAATATTACAACAACATGACTGGTCAGTTGTAATATTGATCCTGGACCAAAATTACTATGATGATGCAGGAACAAGACCAACACAGTGATATCAGATCCACCATTTTAATAACAAGTGATCAACACCTGTGCCTGAAGTGCCTACAGTTGATACCTAATTTATACTGGTTTTGACTTACAAGAATGTTTTTATTTTCTAGGTAAACCACAATGGGCATCTGACCTTTGATGCACCATGGTCTAGCTACAGCCCGCAACTGTTTCCAATGTATGGATCCAGAGACATCATTGCTCCATTCTGGACAGATTTAGACAACAGAGGAAATGGTCAGATCTACTACAACCAATACACCAGCGGCAGTGTTCTCCAGCAAGCTACACAGGACATTAATCAATACTTTCCAGGACTCAATTTTAATGCAAACTGGGTCTTTGTTGCAACTTGGTATCAGGTGGCATATTATCCAACGACTGGAACAGTAAGTCACCTCTTACTAAACTATGCAATCAATATGAAGCATAGGGTTATAATACCTATGAATATATATACTTTAAAAACAAGAAGTTGCTTGTTTTCAGCAAACAACAGTCCAAGCTGTCCTGATATCGGGTGGCCAGTACTCATTTGTGTTGATGAACTATGGGCAAATAGCCTACACA